CTGCGGAGCAAAACGTGAATACCTTTACCTTTAGCCTGGACCGAGAAAGAACCGACATTTCCAAAAAACCAGGGTATTTGCATTTCCGAATCCCATATGGATGATGACCAGTATTCTCCAGTAACTTTGTTCCTTTTGGAAGTGTTCGACCAGACGGAGACAAGAGGCAAACAAGCAGTGGTGTTCCATAATCAGTCGATTTAGCGGTCATAGTGTCTCGAAAGCAAGCATTGTTATGTCGGAGTTAAGAAACCATGGCGCCTATCAAAATGAGAAATCGGAGCGGAAATCATGATTACACACTCCGTCTTGATCCATCATCCCGAACCCATGACTGGTGACCAAAAGGTAACGAAAACTGGGGTTACCTCAGACCGGTCAACGTGTTTTGTGAGTTGCAGTGCTTATAGGGGGTTTCGAACGTGTAAGAACAAACGTGATAAGGCCTAGAAAGGATACACGGTGAATGCAGCGCCACTGAGTGATGCTGATGCGGTATGACGCGCGACTATAGACCAATATGGCGTGGTCTTGTCTGACTCGTAGTTCCTTATCTGGCCGTTCCTTATAAGGCCCCCTCGGACTAAACCCACAGGTATAACAACAACAACCACTGCCAGCTCATAGTAATCGTTATGCCTATCCGTCGCCCATCCATCTTGAACTCCCTCTCCCGCAATTCCATTGTCTCTAACAACGAGAACAAGTCCCCCGTTGATACACCACCTCAATGCAAGTCCCCTACTCCAACTGGGCCTTCTCTGAAGGATACTCGTGCATTTGAACATGATAGACAGCGTCTTAAGAAGGCTGCTGCCCTTCTTGCCAGGAAGGCTCGCGCTCAGCAGCCGCCGTCCCAATCGCCCCCTACCAAGCCCAAGCGCCCGGGCCATGGTGGGCGTCATGGACATGGTGTAAACGTTGACATTGACAATGATGAACCGGCGGTGGAGGAGAACGAGGTCGAAGTCGGCGAGGCCATGTCGTTGTCCTTGCGCCTTGGTGTTGACGCTGGGCTCGTACCCACCCAAGCGCTTCAAGAGACTGTGGCGCCTCCACTGCAGGCCGAGGTTGCTTTGACCGACTTGCTTATCCCACGCAAGCCGCGTAGAAAGGGTAAGTCTTTTTCAGACTAGGTACCACGCGGTTAATGCGAAGGAGGCGTCTCGGTGGTTTTGTTGTGCCGCTATGTTCTGTTGGGGATGGAGAGTCAGTCGAACGGTTCGATAAATAGTTGGGAAGGAAGAAAACACGCACATAGTAGTGGATAGACAATGCCGCATCCTGCGGACAGCCCATCTTCCCGTACTCATAACACTCCCCAAGTCTATATGCACTAGGTGCATACCCCAACTCCGCTGCTTGCGCCAAAAGTTCAATCGAATATTCATAATCCACAAAAAGCACGTTATCGATCCCCCTCTCATGCAGTAATGCCAACTCATGCATGGCATGAGGAAACTCCGCTGTCGCATGTTCCGCACTCCTTTTCAACCATTTGACCCCCTCCTTCGGACTTTTGGATAAACCAAGTTCGCCATTGAGTTCAGCAATGCCGAGACGGTACATTGCTCCTGGATGTTGTGCAGCTGCGGCTTTACGGAAGAAGGTTAGGGCTTTTGCAGATTCACGACGGCAACCCCAACCGTTCTCGCAGCATGTTCCGGCGCGGTAGGCTGCATCTGCATGTCCATGCTTGGCAGCGAGAATGAAAAGTGGATATGCCTTGTCAAAGTCCTGTTTCCCTTTTGCGGTTCCGATACCATTAGCGAAACAGTCTGCGAGGAAATACTGTGATGGAGGATGACCCCGATCAGCGAGACGTTTCAGGAGAGATGTCGCTTCTTTTATTAGATCTTCACGTTTCTCTAAAGCGCGTTCGACGACGAGGAGGTTACCTGGTGTTGAAGGGGGTATTGGGAGTGATTTTGAAGCGTCGATCATGAATACGGCGAATTCGAATTGGAGGTCTGGATCTTGAGTTTTTTTAGCATTGGCACGGTAAAGCTCTAGTGTACGTTCGTGAGAGAGAAGTGCGGCTTGTTTTCCTGGTCGTAAATGAGAATGGTCAAGGATTGGACCAGTTGCTGGGGGCGAGGGAGCACGGATGGAGTTTGTTGTTTGTGATGACGGTGGAAGAGGGGGTAGTGGACTACCGCCACTACCGCCACTGCTGTCATTTTGAAAGGAAGATTGGTGGTGTAGGCCACGTCCGGGAGAACCATTGAAGAAATCGTCATTGTCGTCCTCTGGTTCGACATCGTCGTAGTCGTCCTCAGGGTCCCATCCTGCAGCAGCACCAGTACGAGGAACAAAAGTATCTCGGCTTGGCCGGGTTGCCAGCTCTGGGTTGTAGTATTCCTGATTGTGTGGTGGATCAAGGACGGATTGAGGCCGTTGTTGCCGTTGTGGACGTACTCCTGCCATGATGGTAGTGGTCAAACACCCGTCATCCCGATACATTTTTGAATTCATCCATTCATTCCTCATTCCTTTCCTGACTTATCTTGAATTTTGATCTTATTTCCCTCTTTTATCTAAAGAACCCTCAGTATTGGCATCACAAATTCGATTGCCCTGCTCATGCAGAAGCAAGCCAAGTTAACCGGAAGAAGTTCTTATCCTATAATAACATAATGTGATCAAATACAAGTCCCCCTTAGCTCAGTGGTAGAGCGCGTCACTAGTATCTTTACGATATGACGAGGTCAGTCGTTCAAGTCGGCTAGGGGGAATACAGTTTCCAATGATAGATTTTTTGTTCTACTAGTCCTCTATACATATGTATGTTTACAGGCCAACCGGAAGGGATACTGATCGTCTGCCAGTACCAAGTCCCCCTTAGCTCAGTGGTAGAGCGCGTCACTAGTACATATGCTTACGACATGACGAGGTCAGTCGTTCAAGTCGGCTAGGGGGAATGAGGAGGAGTGAAAAGTGATTTTGCAAGCACATCCACAGACCGGAAAGTCCTGTAGATGGTGAACAATAGGATTTTGGACCCGAACAAATACATATTTTCTCCAAACTAATCCTCACTGATATCGATGTCGTAAAAATGACATTTTAACTCGATTCCCTAGTAAATTCACAGTAATTACTTGCAATGAACTTAAACTGATCAAAGAACAAATGAAAAACTACATTCCAGAGCGGCCCCGGCCTCGAGAACGTGAAGGTCCTGCCCCCGCAGCAGCAGCCCCTTCGAGAGCTTTTCTGGCAGCTCTGGCAGCCCTGAGCTCATTATAATCGGGAACCACATAGAGAGCTCTCTTACTCCTCACATCCCGATACTCCATCTCATCCTTCCACTCATCATCATCATCCTCCCACTCACCATCCCCCTCCGGATTCTGCGTCAACATATTCAAGCCCATGTATTTCTCATTAATCTTCACTTTATGCGAGAAATCAAATATCTCAATCGTCTTCCCACCTCCAGTAGCCATACACACCCTTCCGATCGACTCGTCCCACGCGATTGCTCCAAGCCCATAGGCCTGGTACGGGGACAGGGTTTCTGGTCTCAGAGGCAACGTCGCGAATACGAATTTGGGCACTCTCCGTAGTTGTGTTCGCTGGTACTCCGACAAACGGTTGATGCGCGGAGATGGGTATCCTCTGAATTGATACTCTGGGCTGATGTATCGGCGCAGAGAGATGAGAGCTGGAGCAGAACGACGGTCGTCGCTCCGGCTCATACATATCAGCGAACGGAAGGCCCCAGGGATAACGCGAAGGCGGATGTTATCACGTTGATGTACCGTTTGTTTCGTCAACCATCGGAAGTTGTAGAAGACTGCCGGACTTCTCGTGTCATCTTTCGTTGGCCATATAATCCAATGATATAATTTCCCATTTGTGGTTTCGAAGTATACAGAAATGGGCGGTAGTTCCTTGATTGCGCCTTGCTGAAGAGTGGCGTTCTCGTGACTGGTCAAATGGAAATCTGAAATCTGGCATCCGTTCAATGTAAGGTCGTAATGAACCTTCAGATCATCTACGTGTGCCACGACAATAGGATCGCATTGGCGATCCATATACAGAGGTATATCGTACATTTCCAGGAATTGGCAGGCAGACGTGTGATTTTTCGTATTGAGCTCGTGTCGGGCTCGCTTGTAAGCCAAGGAGCGGAACGCTATGAATTGACGCTGGTTCGGAAGTGGTCGAATGGCTAGGATGCGAGTATGCTACGAGTGTGCAGTTTGAATCGTCAAGACGTAAATTCGATGAAGAAATGGACACACCGGTTCATAAGAGTCGAATTCTGCAGCAGACAATGGTGGGGGTGTTATAGAGTTCTTGATTCCGGTGTACAGGTCAACGAAATTCACAGTTTCACCCTGGCTACCGCGATTACTGACAAAACATAGCATTGGCACACCACTTTGTACGAAAAGTGACATGTGTCCAAAGGGAAAGTGATGTGGGTCGTTATGGACGTATGTTTCTTTGAAAGGCCTATCCTGATGCCTCGAAGACGATAACCACAATTTATGTTTGGCGGTTGCCGAACCTGACGGGTCTTTATCCACGGCTGATAGCAACTCGAGTGCTTCTAGTTCCACGCGAACACAGTGAACAGAATATCTGACGGGATAGACTGGGTCCAGAGTAGGAGTATCATCATTGGCATACTTGGAGATGTCGTCACTAAAATATTCAATTAATGGAAGGAACGCGATGGACGACTAGATACTGACGGTGGTCCATAATGCTTAGCAGACATATGTGCGGTTTGGCGATGGCGTCGAGCGCTGCATTAAACGATTAAACCAAAACTGAAGCAAGGGAGAATGTTCAAAATTTACCTTGCATCTCCGTTGGGGTCGACGTATTCGCGAGTAAAATATGCAATCATAAGGACATTCGATGTCGTCTCGTTACCATCTGCATCCACCTCCTTGTACGGCATGTATTTCGCTTCGAGACCGTAAGACTTCGTCACGGTTGGAAATCTCGCCAAGGCATGAGGCCCATTTGGGTGATCAAGATGGTAGATAACAATGAAGAACCGATAATCGTCTCGGACGGAAACGGCAAGGTATTTGCCTCCTGGGACAAGAGTCATCTCAAGCACTTCGTGGGACCCGGGGAGAGTCATCGTAGAGAAGACAGTAGGATTCTCTTTACGCCAATTATCCTCCATTGAGATCGCGCGAGCAACACGTTCTTGATATTCGTGTTGGGTTTTTCGATTACCGGCTTGAAAGGATGGGCGAATAGGGACTGAAGGGACTTCAATGACTGATTCGATTCGCCTCCAAAGTGAGGGTTCATTCATGAGTTGGTAGAACCATATATTGACCTGGATCCCAAGTGGTAGTTAGTGAATGCAGACTACTTGGGAATACCCATGACTTACGCCTCTTAGGGCAAGAAGGTCCTCGATCTCTAGCATCCGGCAAATGTGCTCAACAAAAATCGAATGCAGCTGGTGCGACATGATGTTGTTACGTGGAATCAAGGAACCTGGCTCTGCCACTTGAATTGGCATTGCCATTCGCATTGGAACCGGTTCTATGAAGGTGACTTCGGGCTCAGCGCTTGGCTCTAGCGTCAACTCCGGCGCTGGTTCTGGTTCCTCAGGCACAGGTAATGATTCTCGTTCCATGATTGGTGAGGGTTTTGGAGGATGGCTCGTTTCAGAGTTGTTATTCTCCATTTCGAATCGAGAAACCAGGGGATATTGAGGGCATCTCGTTCGGTAAAGGTGTGTACTTTATAGATCCAAAGGTACCT